ACTTTCGTGGTGTGCGAGGCCTTTCTTATACTGCCGAGACCGCCGGCGGAACCGCTCTTTTTCTTTTCGCAGCTCCCGTTGTTCTTCCGTCATGGCTTCTCTGCCAGCTCTGTGAGCGGCTGCGTTCAACTCACGCTCTGCTTGACGCTGATCATCCGTCATGTCCCCTCTGGGGTCTCTCCGTGAAGCCGTATTCTGATCGCGCTCGGATTGACGTTGCTCATCTGACATGCCTTCCCTGCGAACTTCGTGTTCCACTGCATCACGAATCCTTGCGTTTTGACTGGCCTCCTCTGGTCTTGTGGCTCTGTGGTTGGCTTCGGTGTCGCGGCTATATGCTCGATGAACTGAGAGGCCTTCTGGCTCCAGTCGACCCCGTCGGACCCTCGCTTGTTCGGCATTTCGGTCCCGATCTCGAATAACCTGGGATTCGGATCTGTTAGCTCTGCGTATGCGCTTTCTCTCCGCGTCTTTCTCTCGTGCCCGTTGTTTTTGTGAACTCGTCATAGCAGCTCGCCTGACGCGAGCTCTTTCTGCATCACTCGCACGTGTAGTCGCTGCGCTATCGTCGACAGTAGGTCCTGACATTCCAATCTGAAAGCCGTGGGTATCGTGTTGCCTGTCGCGACGCGTCTCCTCCTCGAATCGTCGTTGATGCTCCGCAGGATCGTCTTCTTCCGTTTTCTCCTCACGCTCTACCGCCGGACCAGAAGCTCTCATCTGTCCGGATTCTGTTGGTGCTGGGGTTTCAGCTAACTCGAGCTGCTCCAATTCTTGGATTGCTTTGCGGTAGCGGGCCTCTGCGCTACGAAGCCTCTGTTTACGGAGATGTCTTTCCTTACGCGACTCTTCGTGGGATTGGGATGTGTTCTCACGCCGGGCTCGTTGTACGCGATCATCTAGTTCCTCGCGGGTAATTCTAATCATTGAACAGAGTTAGTCGAGTTAATTGTACAGCAAAGCCCGCTACTCAGTTGTTGGGAAACCTTTTCCTTTTCCTCGGGGCTCTTGCCATGTCCTTCTATCTTGAACGCGTCTATCGCCTGATCTAAATGGGAAATAATTACATGGGCGGTTAGACGCGAAAGTCTAAGTGCACTGGGAGCTATTCTACAGCTATTTTGTATAATATAAGCACCAGAACATGGACACGGTAGCTTAAGCAACGTGGTATTCTAATAGAACCCCGAACTTTCCTTTCCAGTACTAATCCAGAAGCCCTCTGTGAATATAGCACACCACTGTCATTTCCATCCCGGCTCCTCGGATTACAAACAACTTAGGGGTATCGTCACTCCAGGCGGCTTGTTGGTCCAGTCAGCTTTTGCTTAGGCCCTTCCCTTGGCCGACGTGTTACAGCCCTCAGCTCACGTTCCGCGGGTCCAAATTACCTTGCACGGCTGTGGACCAAGCAGCTGTACATGGTAATTCAGACGCCGCATCGCGCTGTTGCCTCTTGGGTACGTCAAAGCTGTTGCCTCATCCCTGTTGAGTGGTTGCCCAGGTCTGTTCGATACCGTCCAGCCCTTCAGGTCATGTCAGTAGTATGCGCAGGGTGTCCGAGAACGACCCAGCCCCTCACGGGGCTCACACAGTTCCGAAAATGCTCTAAAACTGTCTATTATGACGCTATGCTATCTAAGTGTACAGGCGCGGGGCTCACTCATGCTCTTAAAGTGTTTTTTATTGTCTTGATCTCTTGTTCTTGAGCCGTCCTTGCACTTGGTCTTGGGCTCCTTGCTCTTGTGAGACCGACTGCTGCATTCCTTTCCGTCCCGCCAGAAGTGCTCTCGCAAAGTGTGTTTTTGGTGTGGGACCTCACACTTTAAGAGCACCTCTGTATTGCGCATGTGGCTGCAACTTCGGTATGGCCAATTGGCAGCACGCGCCACTCGCTTTTGGAGCGTGGACACTCGCGGTGGGTCTAGGACCCCTAGGCGCGTGCATGGTGGTAGACGCTCCCAGATACACCCACCCCAACCTGATTGCTATCGCTACCAACTGCCATACCACTTTGGAGTCTCGGGGCAAGCCTCAGACTTTATCCTGATAGGTCTCTCTTGAATATATAGTAGGGCAAGGAGCCCCACGCCCGTACATACATGCATATACATCTAAAACTACCCTACTGCTATTATACAGCCAGCGCACCTTGTCCTCTCCGCGCCGTCGCTCAAAAATCCAATTTTGTGTTTTGAATGAAAAGTGAGTCGAAAAATATTGCCCAATCAGGGCGCGAGTTAATTGTGTCACGCTTTTGGATATATTTGTAATTTTGGCATAGTTAGGCCGAGTCAGAAAGGTAGGCGCGGTCGGTAAGATGGGACGAAACTGTATTAGACAGGCCGGGTGTAGCCATGCGAAAAGGCAGGAAAAAGCAACAAGAAAGGAACCGGACGGACTTATTGACAGACGGACGGACAGGCTGCAAGTTTAGGAGGCGGGAAATATAGAAAGATGGCGGCATACTCACATGAGCAATACCAAGCTAGCAAGGAGCGCATTAATGCAGCGCAGAAGCGCTACTACCAGCGCACACGCGAAGTGCGCTTGTCCTACCAAAAGAACTACGACGATAACAATCGAGAGCAGATTCGTGCTCGGAAGCGAAAGCCCAAAATCGAACTTAATGAGGATGGAAGCGAACTTAGCGCTGAAACCGAACTTAGCTAATTAATTAAAAAAAATTGAGATGAAAAAGTCGCCAGTGATTTAAAGTCAATACTATAAAGTCATCCAGCCGGAAATAATATAGCTGTAAATATATAACAAACATGTTCGCATACGAGCTTGAAGGACTAAAAAGATTAAATATTCGAGCAATTAAATGGGGTAGTAGCTACCGGGTGAAGGTTCGCGGTAAGACTGGTAAGATGGTTTATGTTAGCAACCTATCGCGCCCCAGCAATCTCAAGCTGGTGGCTATGCAGTACAAGATCAGCCTCAATAAGCTGGAAAAGCACTTGTCCAAAATCTGAGCAATACCTCTGCATTCGACAAGCCGGTTGCCATCAACAGCAGGAGCGACATTCGTAAGGTTATTTCTGAGATTCGCCTAATGAAGCTGGCTGATAAACTCAACTACCCAAGCTCTGGGTACATGGTTAAGGCTATTACAGGGTTCGAGATTTTCGTATATCACCGAGAGCATGCACTTGGAGATAGTGAAGCCGTTATCCCCAAAATCATTTGAGATAATAAGAGTGTTATCAACTTCCCTAAGACCAACGAAAAATGTGTCTTTCACTGTATCGCTTTCCACAAGCATAATGATCCCAAAAAGGATCCGCGGAAGATTCAGTCGTTGGTGAAGCAGGCTTTTAAACATACTGCGCATTCAAGGGTATTACCTACACCCTCGGTTTATATTGAAGTTTCACGCCTATTGATATTCTCCAGTTTGACGAGCTTGAGGAGTGCTTCAAACTAGGTATCAATGTCTATACTATTGATATTGACTCTGGAAAGGTCGGTTGCATCCGTCCATCTGACAAGGACTACCATTCGGTCGATATCCTTTCGCACGATAATTATGCTCTATACATTAAGAACCTGGACGTGCTTCAGCGTAAATATCAAGGTGGAAAGTGTGATATGGTATTCGGTAGCTCTGAAAAGCATAGGAACCATGTTAGAAATAGTGCGAGCTTGTCAATATCGAATCATTCCCAGCTAACCCTACGATTATCGGCCTGCTCCGAACACCATTGGCTCCCTACTCAGAAAGTATTCTATTAAGAGTATTGACCAGTACATCGATCACTTCATCGTCTATGACTTTGAGGCTATTCTCAGGCCTATGGCTACTAAGCATGGGAAAATACTGACTTCACAAACGAGCACATTCCGGTGTCGGTATCAGTAGCCGATAGCTTTACGGAGGAGGCTCGTTGCTTCGTGAACGATGATCCAAAGGCTTTGCTAAAGGATATGTTCAGCTACATCAGCGCTATTGGTGACAATATTCAAAGATACAATGTGCAGCGGGGCTGCCGGGGCTTTAGCGTCAGAGGAAGACGTTCGACTCAAAGAGTCACTTATATTAAGTTCCTTATCCAAAGGACACTTACAGCCCAAGACCAGGGCTCAAAGTTAATACCTTAACTTTTATGCTTCAAAACCAGAAGTGTTTTATTTACTATTATTGCGGCCAAGCCGCCTAGGGGTAAATGTATCTGTTTAACATTTTAGCATAGGTAAGCCTAATCAAATGCATAACGTGTGGCTTTCAGCCAACGTACTGAGAGACCTTGTTAGCTCTCCAACTTATGTACTGAGAGTTTGTTAACTCTCCGGGTACTTCGTACCCCTGTGTGTTCTACACCATGTAACCCCGTTACACTCTCCCCCACTAAGATGAGAACATTCCGTTCTCGAAACTTTCTTAGCGAGGTCACGTCTTGTTAAGACGGCGGAGGCTACTACAGACAACGACACAAAAAGCCGGAGTTGATAAACACAATTCCGATAGTAAAATCTGCGACACAAAAACTCGGACGACTAGCAAAACATATTTTGATTGGATGAATAAAACTGAGAGTATGGAATAAAAAGTTCAGCTACGCTTGTTTATTAAACCGTTGTCGACTCATAGCACGGAATTGCTGATTTAAAGCTACGAATTACGTGCTCGTTGGGAAAACTTTCCCAAGCTGCAATTGTAGCTTGTATGGCTCGAAGACGTTTTTCAGCAGCCGTAAGGCCTTTTTTGGGTAGTAATTTACCTCGAATTCGAGACTTTAGAGGTCCCATTACCCATACATCAAGTGGTTGACAAACCGATGTAGCTTTAGCGGGTAATGGGGCCACTGTAGCGCATGCCTGTTCGGCAACCACACGCATACCCTCCTCTGAAACGTGACAATAAAAATTGTCCGCTAAGAGGAGGGCAGGGGAGTCAATTTCATATTTTAAAATGTTTTCTACATAAAACTCCCAGCTAACTGTATCCATCCAGCAAAACTCTTGTACTGTGTAAAAGTGACCACTTGGCAGCGTGCTTAACTCGTTGGAATCAATAAGTCCGCCACGTTTGCCGCGCAGTATGAAGAGAATCGGAAGTTTTTTCCTAAAAACAAACGTTTTTAGTAAACAAAAGTAAAACAAATTATATAAAACTTATAATTAGCGCAAGAAAAGAAAAAAAAACTTACCATCAGCGCGAACTGTCAAGACAGCCGTCATGCGTCCGCAGTGTTTTGTCAGATTTTGGATTTTAGCTGATCCTTTTCGCCCTTTAGTTGCCCAGGTTCTTGCTGGCGGCATGTCGAACTGGATGGCCGTTTCATCCATGTTGTAGATTTCCGGTAGAGAGTATGAGCCGTACTTACTCCAAAATTCAATTGCAAAATCCGTTTTTAAGCGCTGCAGATCCACATTTGGGAGCTTGGTTTCTTGGGCTTTTTGAGTTGAGAATCCGTAATTAAAATCAAGTTCGAAAAAAAATATTAATAACTCAGCTAGTAATGCAATAATATTTTACAGATAATACTGGTCGGCGTTTCGCTGCAGTAGACGTTCAAGGGCCCGTCTGCAACTCACGTCAGACTTCTTGTTCTCCGCGTAGGCCTCTATCCAGTCGGGGTAGTTCTCTTGAATAAACGCAATCATTCCTGATATAGTAAGAAACTACAAGAGTTAAACAGTACGAGTAAGTAATAATAAAATACTATAAAATTTAAATAACTCATTTCTTCGTCGCGGCGTACGTCTTTCATGTACGTCAAAAGGGCAGAGGTAAATGGAAAGCTTTCCTTACGTCCCTGCCCTTTGGTCGTCTTGTCCAACTTGTTCCCCTCGTAGATGCGCAGCTTGGCCCTACCGACCCACCACCCAGGCACCGTGCCGTGCGGGTGGCCCAGCTTTTCAACGGCGGCAGTGAGCCCAATCCTCTCAACGAGGTCGAACTGCCGCCAGCTTCCCTTTAATTGGGTAGCCGCGCTGCTTCTTCGTTCCCATCGTAGGTTTAGAAAGTGATCGTGCAGCGCGACTTCACCCTCGAATTGCTGGCTTCCAACCGAATTTTAGCTCAATTTATTGGATGGTCATCGTAACTTAACTACTTTTTGATTGGTCAATATTTACAATGGGGCGCTTTCATTTTGTCCGTGTTTTGTGTACGCCGGCTTTTTGTGTCGTTGTCTGTACACCTCACCCCAGCGTTGTACAGCTACGTGAGCTCACAAACGCCTGCACATCGTTGATGCCCAACTTCTCGTCATCGACCCACGGCCCAATGTTTCAAGCGCAGCGCGCATCTTGCTCCCAAGCGGTCTCAGACCTACGCTCGCGCTCCGCGCCTACTCCAAGAGTTGCAAACCGCTTAGAGCAATGATCTTAACTCATTCGAGTCGTCAACAGCAGCTCAGCGGTTGAACAGTCGCTTAACAAGCGATAGGTCGGTGGTTCGAGCCCACCAGGGCACAGCCCTCTCGTTCCATGAGCGACTGATCACGCTTGGACAAGCTTAAGGGCTACGCTCTCTTAGCTCAATGGTTGAGCGTTGGCTTTGAGAGCCACAGGTCGGTGGCTCGAACCCACCAGGGCACAGCCCTCTCGCTCCATGAACGATTGTCCCTGAATGGACAAGCTCAAGGGCAACGCCCTTCAGCTCAGTGGTCGAGCGTTGGCTTTGGAAGCCACAGGTCGGTGGTTCAAATCCACCCGGGCGCCGCCCTCTCATACCATGAGTAGTCCATTCTCGGACGGACGTACGGGCATCGCCCTTATAGCTCAATGGTAGAGCTCCGGTCTGTCAAGCCAAAGGTCAGTGGTTCGATCCCCGTCCGGGACACCACTTTCGCTGTTACAGCGCATCCACATTTGGATCATGCTCATCAAGCAAGTTGTTTCAAAACAACTTTGCGTCTATCGAGACGCTTGTGCCTGAACCTTGTTCAGCACAACACGAAGCACCTGCTTCCTTCAGGACCATGTCCCTAGCACTACGAGGTCTCTCCACCTCCTGCTCCCGCTGCGAGCACCGCTTATACGTACGAGCTGGCTGCTGCAGCCACTGGTCAGAGCCTGAGCTCAACTACTGACCTCATCGCTCCCCACTCTAGTGGGAGGCGCCTAGCGCCTAGCGACGCTGCCGCACGCCATGGTGGCGCTTCGGCACATGATGTGCCCGGTCGTAAGCGTCAACGACGTCCGGGCAATCTTGCCGGAGGATAACCTCAAACTCCCATGAGATCTGTGAGTGAGGGTAACCCCTCCACTTCACCAAGTACTGGGTACGACCCTGGCGTCTACGCCACGCCACAAGGCGTTCCACGTGAAAGTGGAGCTCACCATGCTCATCGAGCAGAGCAGGAGGGGGCCTTGGCTCAGCTGGGCTCTCGCGGGGAGTGTCAGCACTTGCCGGAACGGCGTCTGCGTCCATACGACGCCGGCGTCCACGACGCGAACATTCACGTTCACCGCCCATCGCTGACTCGAATGGAGATACATGCTGGATCATGGACCGTATTGTTGATCACGAAGATCCTCCCCGTGCGCGTCACTCGACCAAGTCGTCGGCTCAACACGCGGAAGTATAAGGTACGATGGCTCGGGTTTCAGCCTGCTGATGATACGTGGGAGCCTCGCGCCAACTTGCTTCGTGACGTTCCTGATGTCGTCCACGACTACGACTCCAGCCTTGAGTCAAACGCTGGCGCGAGCGACCTCGCGGCGATCGAGAACGCGATCGACTACGCGCCCGGCGAGACGTCGAATGCGCCAGAGACGGGCTCCGTCGCGAACGCTGTCGGCGCGAGCCGCCGCGAATAGCCGCCTTGGTGAACTCGGAGAGTGAGCGCTTATATTTCTCGATCCAAGCGTGTTCGGTCGGCATGAGCGGATACTCGACAATATGCTGATCCCACTCAGCTTGCGTCGGGCGTCGCCCGATGTCACACGAACTGCGACCTGCGCGTACGTTGACATAGCACAAACGGTCTTCGGTCCAAGCGTCGTCGCAGACCTTCAGGCGCAGATCACCGAGTGAATGCTCGGCTTGTAGGGCTTCGCGATCACCGAGCTGGCCGACGACACTTTCTCCAGCCTCTTGCATCCGATTCCACCGCCGGATAAATGGGCACCATGACCTCTGCAAAGCTTCGTACGACGCGCCCTCGAGTGTTTTGTTCGGGAGACGCCTGAAGCGCCGAAAGTGGTCCTGCATGGTGTCCAGCGCGTCCGGGGTCACCGCCCCGGACAAGTCGTACACGGCTTCATATCCTCGTTCATTACGCCAGGCCGAACCCCTAGTCGACTCACGCGCTCAGGTGCGATATCAGCGGTCCACCCACTGTTCAGCGTCGTCGTCGACGCTAGAGCCGTCCGCGTTGTTCCGCTTCCTGCCTGATTCGCCGCCCCCGTCTGCTGCGCCATGTTGCTCTCTTCCGCGCTAGTTGTATTGCGCTGTTCCTGGCTTCACAGGAGCTCTCGCCCGTCAAGTTCTCTAGCGTTCTCTTCTCAGCCATTTCCCAGTTTTTATCGATTGTTCTCCGAAGTGAACCCACGTTAGGTGATTGCTGTATTAAGAGGGGGGTGATGTAATGGGCCCTCCCGAGTTGCATATGTAGGTAGTTTTATAGGTTCTTTGTAGTGGTCACACCATTACATAAGTAGGTAGATTTGCATTCTAAAAGTAGGTGCAGCAGCACACGAGTAGCGTGTGCTGAACTGCCGTCATCTTATTGGTTGAAATATGGGGAGCCAGACCCATAATCAACCAATATGGAGTTGACGTGTATTTGAGTGGTCAGGGCAAGCCGCCCTGGACCAAAATAAAAACAGAGTTAATTTTCCTTCAGACTAAGTACTCGGTTTCAGTATCACTGGACTTGTACGCTTCCTCATCACTACGTGTAAGCAAGTAACGGACACCCCAGGCCCTTTACAATACCCGTGTTTCCCGCCTTATCCTCGGGAAGGCCAAACACAAAGTCCATACTCATGGACTGCCAACATCCCTTGGGGACAGGCAAACTCGCCAATGGCGCTGCCGTATTCGGCGCGGCCTTTGTCCGTTGACACGTCTCTCACGTGCGTACATAGATGCCGACCCACTTATACATCTTGGGCCACCAGTACATCGAGCTCACCGAGCCCTAGGTCTTCTCCCGACCTAAGTGCCCGCCCACGGGCGTACCATGAACCTCATAGTGGATTCGATACTTTAGATCCTCATCATAAGGAACGATTACACGAGGGTTATTCTCAGAGTCGGTGCTGTAGTACAGCAGGCCACCATCGAGCGAGTATCGATGCAGCCTCGCGCGTAAGCGCCAAGACAATTCCTTGTCAGAGTCTTTAAAAGCTTCGCTCCCAATTGCCCGTAGCAGCGCTACGCACATGTCGTCCTGTGCATACGCTCTGAGTATCAAGTCAGGCACTGACGACGTCACTGTCGTGACATGAGCTAACTCGTAGTCCGGTCTGCGCGAGAGCGCATCGGCCACTACATTAAGCCGCCCCGGCTTGTACTTCACCTCGAAGTTATACTCGGCAAAGAAGGAAAGCCATCTTGCCATTCTCTGAGAGAGATGAGGCGACTGTGTCGTAGTACGTAGCGACGCATGATCAGTAAAGATCACAAAAGGCTTAGAGCCTAGCAGGTGTACCCTGAATTTGACTAGAGCATACTTCATTGCAAATAGCGCTTTGTCATGAACTGGATAGTTCTTTTCTGCACCTTTGAGCTGGCGAGACTCAAACGCAATCACGCGTTCACGCCCTTCGGCGTCTGCTTGTAGTAAAGCACAACCGATTGCAAAATCGGAGGCGTCGCAGACAACGCTAAACGGACTATCCGGGTCCGATAGCGCAAGGATCGGAGCCTGGAGGAGGCTCTCCTTCACAGCCGCAAAGGCTCCGTCGTGCTCGACGTTCCAGCCCCATGGTGCGTCCTTCTTAAGGAGATCTGATAATGGCCGATCCATCTCCGCGTAGTTCACGCTGTACTTGTGCAAGTAATTGGCTAAGCCTAGCCACTTGCGTAAGTCTTGTTGGTTCTTGGGAATCGGCCAGTCCACGATGGTCTTGACTTTGGCAGGATCTGCCCGTAAGCCACGCTTCCCAATGAAGCACCCGAGAAAAGGTATCTCCTCCGCGCCAAAGACGCACTTGTCCAAGTTGGCATACAACTTATTAGTGCGCATGCCCTCGAGCACCGCTCGCAAGTGGTCAATGTGGTTATTCACGTCTGACTTTCCGTGCTCGCCACGACTATGGACGAATATATTCTCAAAGTACGTCTGAGCGTACGCCCGATGGGGTCTAAACAACTGCGTCACAAGACGATTGAACGTTGCTGGTGTGCTCGACAGTCCCTGGGGCATGCCCAGCCACTCCCAGAGCATACCGCTCGGAGTACTCACCGCTGTCAGCGATATGTCGCTCGCTCTCATGAGCAATTGGTGGTAGCCATCGACCAAGTCGAGCGCACTGTACAACGTACAGCCTACCATGTTGTTCTGCGGAACATCCTTCCGAGGAATCGGCGTTTGCGCCGGGATAGTGGCCGCATTTAGCTTGTTGAAAGCATGAGCAATGCGCCACTTGCCGTTCGGGTTTCTGACACAGAACGTGGGTGTCGAGTGCGGAGACTTACTCTCACGCACCATCCCTATATCGTGCTTCGCACGGAAGAATGTGTCAATGACGTCACACTGCTCTCTCGGCAAAGGCCATTGCCTTGTTACGCCGTATTTAGTTCCAGGAACCAGGTCAATCTCATGACACACGCCTCGATCCGAAGGCAGGCCCGTCGGTGGGTCTTTCGCGACAACGTCTCCATTCTCCTTCACCACCGGGTAGAAGGGATCCGAAGGATCTTTGAGGATCGCCGATCCACTTCTTGCACTCAGCGCCTTCTTGGTGTCCTCTAGGACCGCGTCGTCCACGACAGATGAGGAGTTCAGCTCCTCCTCATGTCGGAACGTGCTACTCTGTGAGCACAGTGCGGCACA